GGTGGCAGAAGTGAGGGTCACCACCAGGGCTGTGGGCACTGGCAGGGCCGGGGCTGCAGGTCGGGAGTGAGGAGTACCAGGGGCCGTGGGGCAGGACTGAGGGGCACCGGGGGCCAGGGGCGCGGGTGGGGGGCCGCGCTGCCCGCACCAGGATGCTCTGCAGCACGTTGAGCAGGTCGTTCATGCCCGTCAGGTGCTGCACGTCCTGGAAGGCGGCGACGAGCACCGTGGGGACGATGGCGCACGAGCGGGTGAAGAGGACGCGGGCGAAGCGGGACCAGCGCAGCTGCAGGAAGCCCTGCGGGGTTGGGGTGGGTGTCAGGGCAAGGCTGGGACCTCCCTCCCCTGCCCCTGGGGGCAGGATTGGGGCCTGGACATCCTGCCCCCCCAGGCAGTTCCAGTGCCCAGGTAGCTTCCAGGCCCAGGGCTGCCGGGGGAGTGGGGGCACTGGGCGGCTGCAACTGCACTGAGCAGCCACCAGGTGTCAGCGGGACCCAGGGAACCGCTCATTACAAGATTCAGTTATGCAAATTATTTTAATGAGCTGCATGAACTCTGCTCCCCTGTGCAAAGGCCCTGGCCCCATGGTTTCGTGGTTCGATGGTTGGGTTGTGGCTGCCTCTGCGGGGGGAGGCAAGACCCAAGGAGGGGTTGTGGCCACAAGCTCTGCCCACAGTCCCTCAGCTCCGCCCCCAGCCCCAGAGCAGCTGTCACCTCCTGCTGCCAGGGTCAGCCCCAAACTCCTTTCTCGTCTGGCCGCAGCTATCATTAGAGTCCAGAGACAATTTCCTGGGGTTTATGGGGGAGGTTGCCCCCATGTGACTCAGACCTTGGGGGCCGGGGGCAGGTTTGCTCAGGTAGGCCCATCCAGGCAACCACCACCTGCCCCAATGAGTAGGGCTTAACCTGCCCCCACCATAAGGCGGTTAACTCTGGAACCTAATGATGTCCCTTGTTTATCCACCTCCCTGCTGATGCTCCTACCAGGCTTTCCTTGTCTGCCACTGGGGCTCCCGCCTCCACAGGGCTGGGACGACCCTGGGGAAGTCCCAGGGGGCTTGGGGGCTCCTAGACCCCCCCACCCCTCCCCCTGCAGCTCACCTCCATAACGAACTGCCCCGCGTAGGTACCAGTCATGGTTGAGCTCTGCCCGGCTGCCAGGATCCCCACGGCCCAGATGTAGAGGGCAGCTGCCCCGAAGTAGCAGCCCAGGATGACGCCCTGGGGTGGAGGGGAGGGGTCAGTGCAAGCCCTGCCCCTTCACATCGCCCCACCCCCTGCCCCCCAGTGCTCACCCCCTGGTAGAGGTCCACGGTCACGGTGCTGTTGTCTGCAGGGAAGATGTTGGCGTACTGGCTGACACTACTGTTGATGCACACGTTGTGCTGCAATGGGTGGGGGCAGGTCATAAGAAGGTGGGGGTCAGGGGAGGGGGCTGGGACCCCCTAGGAGAGGGTGTCAGGGCCAGACAGGGGTTGGTGCTCACCACATCGCTGTTGCTGCGGTGGTAGAAGGCCTGGCCAAAGACGGCCATGACGAAGAGGTTGATGAGGAAGGAGATGCCCAGCGCCAGGCATGACTCCAGCAGGAAATACCCATTGGCTTCCCTCACCTCCTGTTGCTGTGTCCGGTCCACAGTGCGGGACTGGAGGGGCACAGAGCGGGCACCATCAGCCGGCACTGGTTTCCCACAAGCCTGGGGCAGTGCCCCTTGTTGGCCAAGGCAGGGCTGTGGCAGTAGCCCTTAGTGACCGAAGTGGGGGTACCACAGTGGCCTTCACACTGGCTGGAGACTGCATTGCAGGCCAGGGGGGGCATAGGCAGCAGTCTCACTATGACCCTGGCAGGGGTCTCACCATGAGTGGAACAGGGGTCTCACCATGATCTAGGCAGGGGTTTCACAGTGACTGGGACAGTGTCTCACCATGACCAGGGCAAGGGTCTCACTAGGACTGGGGCAAGGGCTCACCTTGACTAGGGATGAGTGCAGGTAGATATTGTGGGGCATGATGATGGCGCCTACGATGCCCACGGCCTGCAGCAGCTCCTCGCGCCCACAGCCCGCACAGTAGGGCACAAAGATACCCCGGAGCACTGCCTCCTGGGACGGTCGCACCACCACATACTGCGGGATGGGGGAGGGGGCACAGGTGAGCCTGGAAGCTCTGAACCCCCCCCATGCCCTCCACCCGGCTCCTGGAAGCCACTCACACCCCAAATCGTGGTTGGGGAGCAGGAAGGACAGGCCTGGGGCGTGGGGGTTGTCACTTACCTCATAGCCAAAGGTCACAGCCATGATGGTGATGAGGAGGCCAAAGAAGGCTTCCAACTTCCGCAGACCTGGGGGGGGGCAGGGGGGAGTCCAGGGGCAGTCACAGTCCCATGGACTGCCCCCACTGGGGGCTCTGCCGGGGTGCAATCTAGGGAAGCATGAAGGGGTTTGGGGACCCCCTCCGCAGTAGGTGGAGGGCCAGATTCAGCTGGGCCCCCCCCGGAACTCACCATATTTATCCAGGAAGAGGAAGAAGAGGGTATCGATGATGGTGATGAGAACCCCACCCCAGAGGGGGATGCTGTGCAGGGAGAGGGTATAGAGGGGGGGGTTCAGTCTGGCCCGGACATGCGTGTCCCTCTGGCCATGCGTGTCACTGGGCGGTGTGGGGGGGCACATTACCGTCCGGCCGAGAGCAGGCTGAACGCGATGGCTGTCCCGATCACCTCTTGCATGTCAGAGCCGATGATGGCCAGCTCGATGGTGACCCACAGCAGCACGCGGGGCACCTGCGGGCATGCGCCAGTATCATGCCTGAGACCCCTGTACCCCATGGTCTGTGGGGGGGCAGCCTCCCACCCCCCAGCTCACCTTGGGGTAGTAGAGGTAGCAGATCTCGCCCAGGTCCTTGCCGGTGACGACACCAAGGCGGATGGCCAGGCGCTGGCACAACAGGCCCAGGATTGTGGCCCACAGCAGCCCCCACAGCAGCTGTCGGGGGGGGGGGGCAGAGCTCAGTGGGGAGTCATTCCCCCCATGCCCTGGGCAGGGGTTTGTCCAGTGCCAAGCACAGCCCACCCCCCACCCAAGATAGCTCCCCCAGTGGTGTCCACAGCCTGCAGCCCCCCAGTCCCTGGTGCCCACAGTCCCTCTAGGCCCCCCCCAGCCCCTGGTGCCCGGTGCCTACCTGGAAGCCGGCCACAGCCCCGCACTGCAGGTCCGACTCGATGTTGCCAGGGTCCAGGTAGGCGATGCTCATGAGAAACCCAGGGCCTGTGAAGGCCCATAGCTTGCGCAGGCTGAAGCCGGGCTGGAGGGGGGCATCAGAGGGATAAATACTCCTCCTGCCCCCCTTTGCTGTCCCCTCTTCTTGCTCCGCTACAAGGAGCAGGGCTGGACCAATGAGGATCCCCATCCCTGTCCAGCTCAGAGGCTGCAACCCACCCAATACTAAGCTGGGGGGGCAGCTCCATGGGTGGACCCCCCCCGGCCCTGGCCTCCCTTCCCCCCAGCCTGGGAAGGGCCCCTCTACCCACTTCCCCTTCCCGCCCGCTGCACACTTGAGTCCTTTCCTGCCTTGCTTTGAGCCTGTCAGAAGGGGCTGGGGGGGAGGAACCCCAGGGCCCAGCACCCCTCACCCCAGCCTTTCCCCCCGCAGGAAGCTCCCAGGACATGTGTGGAAAGGTGTGAGGGTGGGGGGGCAGATGCCCCCCAGCCAGGGACTTTCTCCTGGATCTGAGTCCTGGCAGCAGCACGGACAGCAAGGGCAGGGGGACCTCCCCCACCCCAGCCCCAGACAGGGGTGCCCTCCATGCCCCCCACCCAGGAAGCACTAGGGCCCTGCTGGTTTCAAATTCGTGCCCCCACCCCCATGAGGTGGGTTGCAAAACAGAGGTGGCGCCAACAGAGCCCAGGAGCCGGGTGTGGGGACTGTTGCTCCCCCCCAGCAGCGTGGAGCAGAGCCAGGGGGGAGACCCCCCCCAGTCCCCGAGCAGGGTCCCCAACTGCCTCTGGGGCAGCCCACCCTCTGCCTCAGTTTCCCCAGGTGGGGCTGCCAGGACCCTCCAGTCCCTAATGCGCAGCCTAGGCTGATGCCATTACTTATCAGGGAAAACTGAGGCAGGAGAAGGGCGAGAGCCCATGTATCCCTGAGGCCGGTGAAATGAAGCTGCACCCCCCCCCGGGCCCAGCACTGACTCACCTTGTCCCCCTGAGGAATGGGGATCCGCTCCTCCAGGTAGGTGCCCCCCACAGCCCCGCGCTCCTCGGGGGGGATGGGGCAGTCCCCGGCCTCGCAGCTCCGTGCCCGGTCCTGGGGCATTGTCCAATGCCAGCCTCGGGCTGGGGGGCAAAGCTGGGCTCAGATCAGAGCCTCCTACCAGGCCCGGGGGTGGGGGGGGCAGCATTAGGGGGGCCCTGCGCTGCCAGGGAAACTGAGGCATGGCAGAGTTTGGACAAGGGGGGGCAAGAACCCAGGCGTCCTGGCTGCCTGCTGGGGGGGGCAGGGGGTGTCACAGGTCTCCCCTCCCCCACCCAGCCAGTCGAGGGTTGACCCAGGCCCCCAGCTGGAGGGTGCCATGGCTCCTGGCGCCTGTCCTTCACTGGAGACAGGAACATGTAGCAACAGGAAGTCGTTGTGGCCTGCGGACTGGGCTAGGGGGGCATTGGGCTGGAGGGGTCCTGCCCCCCCATTAGCAGAGCCAGGGGGGCCTCAATGGGGGGATCTAGGTAGGGGCAGGGACCCCCTGGCTGGGTGGGGGGGGTGTTAGATCCCCCCACGTGCATCCCCATGTGGGCAGGGGGCTCTAGGGGTCTCACCCAGCTGCGGCGTCGCCATGGGGACTCCGGGCCCCGATCCGGTCTTGGTCTGGGATCCTGCGTCCGCCTGGAGCACGAAGAGGAAGTGCTCCTTCCTGGACGCTGCAGGGGCCCCCCCATCCCTCCAGCGGGGGGGCGGGGGACACACCTGGGTGGCTCTTGCCCGTGCGATGAGTTTTGGGGGTCTCAGCCCCAGCCCAGCTGTAGGACTGGGGC